GTTTCTCCATGTTGGTCAAGCTGGTCTCAAACTCCTGACCTTAGGTCCTCAGGTGATCCGCCTGCCTAGGCCTCCCAAAGTGCTCGTATTACAGGCATGAGTCACTGCACCTGACCTAGAGCATTTTTTATATTGTACACAATAACTTTTTTTAATGGAGATGCTTTATTTTCAAGCATAAAAGTAGAAAAAAGTAAAAGGAAGAATGGAACAAGAACTTTTGAAAATTATGTTTTCACAAGAAAAAGCTGCTTATAGATTTTGCTCACGTAATTCCCAAATATAATAATTCAGTCCTTTAAGATGACTTAAAAACGTATTCCAAATGTGTTTGCTTATTCACAGTGAAATATTTGGTGATGAATCAGAGGTAGTCCAAAAAATGATCAAAATTCATTACCTAACATTCATGTTGAACGTGTTTAATCACTAAGCAATTATGGATTTAATATCTAAGATTGATTATCCTGTCAGATTGCCTCCCAGAATGTTTAAAATCAAGTTGCTCTGCTGCTTTGTCAGAAAAATATGTGACTGCTTATGCATGTCCATGATTTACACAAACACACATATTTGGTAATGAGACATACAATAGAGCAAACTGAAGTTATTCCTTTCCCCAATCTATAGTATCATTAACTCTTTAGTTTTAAACGAAGAAAAACCGTATTTTATATGACTATGAAGCTTACATAATATAGTATAGGGAGTATGTCCCAAACTAATCTGTTCCAACAGGTATAAGAAAAATACAACAATATATGTTTAAAAGTTACATTCACTAAAGGCAAAAAAGATAATCCCATATGGTTTAGATTTTCCGTAGGAGAATACAATTGAAGCAAGCTCTCCGGTGATAATATTCAAATAATTTATGTAAATTAGAATGGTCAAATGTTTCTGTCTTTGCAATCCAACTGGATGTTAGTATAGGTACTTAAATTATGGAATGCTTATAATTGCACAGCATTCCAGTAACTGATAGAAGAAAAGACAATGATAGATGCTGATCCTTATTCCACATCAAATGGCCTTGCATAGACTTTGCCTAACCAGAGCCTCAGATCCCAGTGAGTGCTTTTAAAAAGGGGCATTTTTCCCTGTTATAACACAGGTACTATTTTTGGCCTCACAAAGCCTCCAGCCTAGGCAGTGAAATCCCAGCTATAGACAAGTGCAAATAATCCTAGAATTTGCAAATATGCCACAGAAAATATCATTATCTCTTTTATGGCAACCCTCACATCACCACTAGTACTCCCATAGGCGGAGGGGAGACTGGCAAATATTCTTTACCCTGGAAACAAGTGATTCTGACAGACTGCAGATACTTGCCTCAATACAGGCCGACAGCTCCTTAATACAGCTTAGCAGATTTCATGAAAAAGGCTGCTTCCGGGCCGGGTGCGGTGGCTCACACCTGTAATCCCAGCACTTCAGGAGGCCGAGGTGGATGGATCCCAAGGTCAAGAGATCGAGACCATCCTGGCCAACATGGTAAAACCCCATCTCTACTAAAAATACACACACACAGAAAATAGCTGAGCATGGTGGCACACACCTGTAGTCCCAGCTACTCGGGAGGCTGAGGCAGGAGAATTGTTTCAACCCGGAAGGCAGAGGTTGCAGTGAGCCAGGATTGCACCACTGCACTCCAGTCTGGTGACAGAGCGAGGCTCTGTTTCAAAAAGAAAAAAAGAAAAAGATAAAGTCGCTTCCTTGAATAAGGAGCACATCTCCAGTGATACTACACGATGCTACCCAGGCACCCACTAGTCCTGTGCAACAGTCATTTGATAAGTCCTAATCTAATGGTCTTGAAAGAGTTAATCTTCCAAAGAGACTACAAAATAATTTGTACACTGAAAATATCAAGCACAACTGATTACATATCCGAGTTTTTCCAGAGGAAAAAACATAGAGCTAAGGGTGCTGTACTTATTGATATCACAGTGAGGAACCAGAGAAAATACCTCGAATGATTATGAGACTTCTACATGGGATTCTAGCAGGGGAAACCAGGGTCTCTACTTTGATCTTTATGAGTTGCTGTTCCATTGGCAATATTTTAACTATCTGATGGTAGTGAAAAATCATTTCAATATTTTAAAGTTACATTCTTGATTTTCAGGTGAGATACTCTTGGCAATATTTTAAAGGGCACAGTTTTCTATTCACTATGTTTGCTGACATACAGTTCAAATATAGTACAATATAGAAATAAAGAAGTAAAATTCCATAAAGAACAAAGGAATCATATCGCAACATAGTAATTCATACCAAGCAGCAAGAAAAGAGTGTAAAATAAACTGCAAAAAGCCTTCAGTTGAGCACGGTTAATTTTTTAAGTTTCGGTTATCTGAAATTTGGAACACTGGCCTAAATATTATCTTTACTATTTAAATTTGATTTTGATAAGAACTCAGAACTTTTACACATAAATGACTTGGGTAAAGTTTTGGAAACAACTTACACACACACACACACACACACACCCCAACAATGACAAACATAATTTGGTGTTTTCCAAATATGCTTAATGAAGAGAATCATTAGCAAATATATCCAGATAACTTTTTGTCTTACGTATATAGTTGCAAATCAGCAATTTATTCTAGTATGTGACAGCTTTGCTACAGACTTTTAAAATACAAGAAAACATGGTTATAATCTGTAGCAAAACACTTGATATAACATACCTCACAGTAGTCTCAAATAACCATTTGGGGTAAACTTCCGCCAAAGTTTATGAAACCATAGTTTTGCAATGCATTTTTTCTTCTCTCAGACTTTCAGTACTATTAGGGCAGTGAAATTCTAAAATGAATTATTGAAGAACATTGTTTTGCAGTATCTATAAAAGAAAAGCTATCTGGTTTCAGTTATTTACTTGCACAACTAAAGCGTCAATCTAGAACAGATTCAGCACCATATCAAAAAGTCTACAGCAACTTGATCTTTTGTCATTTTTAACTGAGCTCATTTGTCATTTTTAACTGAGCTCATTTGACAAATTAATGAATTAACAGAGATCAATTCAAAACGGCTGCTCAGTGACACAATAATAATAAGCCAAATGTCTAATACATTTAAATAAAATTGTATACATAGCTACTACTTTAAAGTCCCAGGGTAATTGACATGTGAATAAGAGCTCTGTAATATAATTTAGTTTTTTTTTGTTTGTTTGTTTTTTGTTTTTTTTTTTGAGGCGGAGTCTCATTCTGTAGCCCAAGTTGGAATGCACTGATACGATCTCGGCTCACCACAAGCTCTGCCTCCAGGGCTCAAGGGATTCTCCTGCCTCAGTCTCCTGAGTAGCTGGGATTACAGGTGTGCACCACCACACCCGGCTAATTTTTTGTATTTTATTAGAGATGGGATTTCATCATGTTGCCCAGGGTGGTCTCGAACTCCTGAGCTCAGCTGATCTGCCCGTCTCAGCCTCTCAAAGGGCTGGGATTACAGGTGTGAGCGACTGTGCCCAGCCTATAATTTAGTTCTTTATCTGGTTGTATGCACAACTCGTGGTATAGAGCAGCAAACATTTATGACCATGAGTGTAGCTACCCAATGCTAACTCCGCCAACTGAAAGGTTTGTGCTGTTGGTTGTGGTTGTGATTGTTGATGAGCCATTAACTGATTTATGTTCAGCCTTTCCCTCTGTAATAAGAGGCACTCATCCCACTTTCATTGTTCCATTTACAAAAAAAAAAAAAATTGTTCCGTTTGCTCATTTATAAATAAAATTCTCTATTCATTTTTCTGCTAGAAATCTTCAAAAAGCGAAGAAGAATGCAATTACCCCTTTTGTGGCCCTCATTTACAATAAAAGTTTGCACACTCCTTCCCCTGAATGCAGTCAGCAGCTCACTCTCACCCAAGCCCTGAACCACATTCCTCAGTTAACATGTAACTCTATACATTCTGTACTTCTCTTGACTGGTAGAATTGGAGGTGTTTACAAAGCTGACAGTACATTAGTTCAGAAACTATGGCAGCAACCAGGTAAAGCTGGAAGGTTCCTCCACCACCCGGCTTTTCTAGACATCTGTCAACAGGAAAGCAACACGGAAAGGCGCGAGGCCTTGAGTAGCATGTGCATCTCGCCGGGAATGCGGTGCCGTTTTAAACCGAGTCCACCTTTACTAGATTGTTTTTGGTCGTCAGTGGAGACGGCTTGCATTTAACCCTATCGGCCACGTCGTTAGAGCTATCCACAAAGAACATCCTGGCTGTACACAGTGAGACTATAATTCTTCTGTATTCCTTCCTGAAATTTTGGTTCAGTAGCCCGTATATAATGGCATTGAGGCAGCTGTTGAAATACGCCATGTAGTAACTCGCCACAAACAGCCACTCTGGGATCCTCGGCACCATGCTGGCGGGGTCAGAGGCCACGGCCAGGCCAATGAAGTTCAGAGGCGCCCAGCAAATGGCAAAAAGGACGAAAACCACAAACATGGTGACAAAATTCCTGAAGTCCTGTGGTTTCAGCCTGGGTTTGCGGTCCGGCTTCACCCTCTGTCTGACCTGGAGAACCAGGATCCATATTCTCAGGTAACAGAAGATGACAATGATCATGGGGACGAGGAAGTGGAACACCACCACGGCGATGGTGTAGGCAGAGCTGACGGACTGCGCGAAGGTGCACGAGTAGATCCTCGGGTCGTACTGGAGAGTCCCGGCACGGAGGTTGGGCAGGACAGCCACCAGCGTCAGGAGCCATATGAGGAGCACGTAGCAGAAGGAGTTCTTGCTGCTGTACAGTTTGTCGTACTTGAGACTGTGGCAGATGTAGCAGTAGCGGTTGATGGCAATGCCGGTGATGTTGAATATCGAGCCGATGACACTCAGGCCCATCAGGAACCCACTGATTTGGCAGTGCAGATACCCCAGGTTCCACCCATTGTTAAATATCGACGTCAGCACCAACGGGTACGGATAAACAGCCACCACCAGGTCGGCCACCGCTAAGCTCACCACAAAGATGTTTCCTGAAAGAGAAACATTTAGAAAATACAGTGAAGACCAGTTCACACTGGGTTTTCTGTTACAATTGTTAAAGAAGGAGCTGCTTTTGCCTGCAGCTCTGATGACCTGACGTCACAGCTGCTGCCACACTGCAAATGAACTGGAGGCCATTTCACCGGACGCCAGCCCACTGCCGCTCGTGACATATCAAACCCACTGTTCACACGTTCCCGCCTCCCCAGAACAGGCCCTGTTCCCTGTTCCCTGTTCCCTGTTCAAAACTGCTGTCTTTCAAACCCTTCAGTTTCTCATTTCTTAAAAAGTCCTGAGATCAGAATACTTGCATTCCATCTGTTGTTCTAGAGCCTTCTACATCACCTGAGCAATCTCATATGATGTTATTTCTCAAGCCAGCCACAACTGCCTTAAGTTCAAGTCTTCATTCCCGCTGTAGTCCTGCAGCAGCTCCCAAGGGGCCTCTAGCTTCTGTCCTCGCTGATCCTACAGCGCGGGAGTTACGATCGAGAGGGCTGTGTCATCAGCCGTCTGGATGAGAACACGGCTTCACTCCATACCAACTGTCCAACCGGGGCACGTTACTTGACCTCCCCAAGCTTCTGCCTCCTCTCCTAGATGATAGGATAATGAGCATCTTCCTCTTAGGGCTGCGGTGAGCATGACATGAGACTATCTGTGGCGAGTGCCATGCACCGTGCCTTACACCAGAGAAATGTTCTTATTCTACGACTCCCTCACCTTGAACCAAAGGAAAATGCAGAAATTCTCCTAGATTTTATAAAGAACTTATGTTACAAAACTTAAACCCTAAATAGTCTAACTATTAATTTTCTCAACATAGCAACACATATTTAATTATAGAAAAAAAAAACTCTGGTCACTTTTTTATTTTTATTTTTTATTTATTTATTTATTTTGAGACCGAGTCTTGTTCTGTCACCCAGTCTGGAGTGCAATGATCTGATCTTGGCTCACCCTAACCTCCACCTCCAGGGCTCATCCTCCCACCTCAGCCTCCCAAATAGTGGGGACCACAAGTGCACACCACCATACCAGGCTGATTTTTGTATTTTTGTAGA